AGCGACGCACCAACACACACGCAAGTCTCAGGGTTCAAATCCCATACCCGTTATCCACTGATAACGCCATGCCTTCCATTTCTTCGAGGTACCAGAATGTCAAGCAGGATAAAAGCCCTGACTTACATAGGCTGGTCACCGTGAGTCATTGTATAGACCATACACGCGTGCTATCCACACCGAGGTTCTACGGCACACGAATGCGATATCGGAACACATATAAGGGACTGATTAACGCCAAAGACTTTGTCTTTTGTCCTTTCTTTCGAAAGATGTTCCTGATCCTTACCTATCGTGTGAGGGATAACACGGGAGGTCGCACACCAACTGACATCTGTCACCATTACGGGAAAAAGTAGCTACACTGAGTCAGTGAAGAAACTGAAAAACCTCAACAGGATAATACAATTCCAATCGTTGTCGATACCTTTTATTTATGATTTGTATTCAGTGTATTTTAAGTGAAGAACTCTGTATTCACGCACGGCACAAGTAAGATCAGAAAACATAAATGTCATAAACTCATAACTGCCTGACATCATTCTAAAGCGAACGCTAAAAAAGTTTTTAAGAGTACTTTCTAGTATGTCAAAGAAAAAACAACAAACACATCCAAATCATTTCATCGAGTATTTTAAAAACTGTGATCATCTTCAGAACATTTAGCCCATGAAAATACCGTCTACAGCACCCATCAGAGCTCCTTCAATTCTACCCATTATTGCACCTGAATGGAAGGTATACTCAGCTTCTGAAAATCAAAGTTACATATTTCATATTTCTGCCCACTCCAAAAAGGCAAACTAGCCAGTGCTGATGATTGATTTTGTCAAATATTTTTTGAGGTACAGTTGGAGTACCTGGTTGTGTTCTGGGTTTATGAAATAAAAGATAAGGGTCGATCATGCTCAAATTCTGGCAGATGTTTTTCCGGTACGCGTGCATGAAGAGAATCGCTCATATTTTTTAGGTATATTTTGATCCCGGCCTGGTCTAATGAAGGCGGATCAGAGTGCATTTTGTTCCTCTCCGTCGTCGTACATAACCGGTTTTCTTCTTGTGAATTTTTCCAAGTATTACTTTCGTTAAGCTGTCAAAGATTGCTTTCAGCGAATCACGGAATCCCTAGTTAAGCAAATGGAAAAGTCCGAGTTCCAGCTGATGTTTGTGTTCCTATTATGGTTCGTAGAATTGTGATACCATCTCCCAAATCAGGAAAATAGATACGTACTTGCATCATACCCTGGTTCAGGGTCTCCATAACTATCATATCCATAACCATACTGAGCTAAGGACAATGCCACCAACTGGATAACAAGAAGAAGAAGAGCAGCGAGTTGATTCATTTGCTGAAACGATTTCGGATTGTTAATTGATCAATGATCACAGCAGTAGGTACGGCGATGGAATAGATGGTGACGACAACTAATATGTACTAAGAAGGGTGTGGAAAGGGTATCATCGACTTCACAATGTTCCAACGAACTGTTTCATCAACTCATAAAAAATATTAATATTTATAAAGTAATCTTGAAAGCACAGAGGCTATAAAAGGCTTATAAAGGCTGAACAAATTATGTGCGCTACTCTGCGTCCGAGCTTTTGCGTCCTCTGCCCTCTTTATCGTGCGTTTCATCTAACAAAAGATGATGTTGTGGGACAGAGGAATCAAGGTTAGAGCCTTTCTGCGCTGTTGGAATGCACTTCTAGACTCGAAGGCTTGGTCTTAGCGAGTATCGGTCTAGGACTCGGTCGCTAGACCGAGAGTATGTGATATTGCGTCACTTGGAACTACACCACCTCCACCCAGGTGAAGGAGTGATTGGTAATAAAAGTGGATGACGGACCGTATGACAGTTGATAAAGGATAAGGAATAAAGTTTTTTTGAACACTTCCGTCTGCGCACTAGACATTCGACTTTCATTCAGAATTGTAACCGGAGAATTACCGAACTCTGCTCAAACCTCAGTCCAACAAACTAAAGCAAACTGATCGAGACTTGTATCGGTTCGCATCATACTTATATATTGAAAGATGTAAACTTCAACAATACGCCAGTTTTTTGAACGCAGATAGTATTTGGAAGCTGTGATGGAATCTTCTGTAGACTGACTTGAGAGCAATACTTGCTATTCTGTCACAATACTGAGCTGGGAAGAGCGAAAGAATAATACAACGACGTGACGAAAAAACGCCGTCCGGGAAGATTTGAATTCTCATCATGTAGCGAAGGCATCAATGAAGGGCAATGTTTCAGTGTACGATACTGACAGGTCACACCTTTTATTGTGAATGACATAACCTCTGACGGAATTCGCCTTCGCCCTCTTCTCGAATTCTAGTTTGAACGATGTAAGTAGTATAGCTGAAAAAGAACTGCAACTAACATATGACTGATCGAAGTGAGCGAAAAGGAAAAACTCGTGCAAAAAGTCTAGGATCTGGAAGCAACAGAAAGCCTTATTGAATGAAATGGATTGGGTTGTGGAGGTACGGAGAAAAGAAAAGTCATGCTTGATCCTCGGGACCACCATGCCCAGAATCCTTGAGCAAGAAAGCATAGCCGCTAGTATAGCATCTGACGGACTACTGTGGAGCTTTAATCGAAGCAAGCGGTCTGAAGGACACAGAGGGTCAACACCCGAAGGGACATCGCGAAGTCAGGAAAATAGCAGAGTATAACTTGACCAGACAGCATGATCAAGTAAATCTCATGGAGCCTTCTGGTATTGCAACCTCTCAGATAATCAGTTTTTCAATGACTTCATTCAAATCATCGTCTTTCAAAACAATCCTCTCACCCTTTTTGTAACACGAACCAATCCTCCTACGATACTCAAGCAGAAAATTCATGACCATCGAAAGTAACCATGGTTTGCACGATGCTCAATATTCCTAGCGGTTATTCTGAGCAGAGACACTGTCACTGTTACATTTCACTTCCTAATGCTTCAAACAAACCACAAACGTGATTTCGAGGCCTTTTCTTCGCGAATCCGATTTATTGCTACTCCCAACCAAGGTATTTGTCATACAGAGCAGGAATGCAGTCCAAACTGATCCATGATGAATGTTACTAGATGACTTTCATTAATCAGCACTCCATAATCTACTTTACAGAAGAATACACTCATACATGGACTATCTCAATCATTCATCCAAGCCTGCTATTCCACGAGAAGCTCGATTGCTGGCGTTCGCCGGAGCCGAACATTTGTTTTGCATTTTAAATAGAAATCCTAACGTTCCTGGAAAATACAGGGAATCCTACAGAGATGCAATCGGTTCACGGTTTTTGTAATAACGCGAGTACACGGCGTAATCCGCTGTTAGCAACCAGCTGACCTCACGAAAATTATGCCGCAGAAATTGATGTATTGATAATACTATCAGTGCGATGAAACTCTTCAAATCGGCGTGACCGCTCCATCACGTGCATTATATGCTGGCGTAGGGGACTGGTCACCAGCGAGTGATGGCGTACACTCGGGTTCAGGACCTTATCACAAAGGAAAGGCTACTTTGGAACCTCCTCAGACAAAAACTCTTTCGAACCACTGAAACCACTCAGTGGCTCTCAGAATCGTTTGTCCATTTCATCGTAATCTTCTCGTACTTACAATTAGACAAAATACCACTTTAACATGAATACATTTCATTAGGAAATAGTCCAGGGAGAAATTTTCTCGGAGTTTTTTGTTTCCAGTCTTCTCCCAATCTTCCACACCACGAGCTGAGCTCAGTCATGTGAATGAACTCATGAAAAATTTCTTTTGCTATCGTTTCGATTCTCTATCTCTGCCCTATACAATCTTGGAATGGGACGAGTAGGAATGCTCAGAAAATAGCGGTACTGATGGCAATTCATTCCGGGCTTTACCTTTGAGTATAGCAGTCCCTTGCTAGATGGTTTCACTACTCAGGTTCCTCATGGCTAGAAACTCTCACGAGACCTTTGTTTCCGGTCCCAAAAAATACGGTACGGGCTTGGATTCATGTCTATGGTTCAAAAAAATTAGCAGTAGATTTAATGAAAAGGNGGAGCCATGTCCATGTGTACGATAACGCCAATAGTTTTTTCGTTGGTCTTGTAGTGAGTCTTTGTTCAAAGCTAATTATGGGCTTAGTGATTCAAGGGACAATAAACTATGAACACATGGCCCGATTATGAGCCCAATAGTTCAAGTAGAAATTTATTGTAGACGGATACTGTGTGCTGGCAAGCATTGAAAGGGTGACGTAGTGTAAGTTTACATGAAAATAAACTTATAGCGGAGTTACTGTGGGATCCTGTCAAAAGGATGTTTCAGATATATCGCTGTACGTTGGTTGACCACAAATATAATTGAAAATAGATGCCGGATCGCACTAAATAAAACACTTGACATCCAGATATCATCAACGAACGGTCCACAAATTGTTATAAATGAAACAATGAAAAGAATGATCTGAAATCGCAAACAACTAAACTCGTATGGATGCGAGAGTGATTTAGTCAAACAACCTCACAAAAATTCAGCAATACAAGAGTTCAAATCGTCTTACTCAATAAGTATTGTAGCACATTCAATAGATCTATGAAAAACTTTCAGGACATCAACTCTCGGGACCATCGACGGAAGAACTCTTGACGAGACCTTCCTGTCGATGGACATGTCGAGTAAATAGTATCCATGACAGACTTATGACATTATGTACTCTGACACGTGATGTATTGCTAGTTGTGCTGTTTTTTGAATCCTCTCAACTTCTTCAGCGTTCGCCTTTTGTGAGCGCATCGTAGACGACATGCTGCGAAAAGTTCGAAGTCTTCTTGAAGAGCACAGTCCGTCTCACAACCAAGCAGCTACAAAAACCCGAAAATTAATTATAATTCCAAGTAGTCGGGAATCAAGGTTGAGCTGAGCCTCTTGTACTAGTAGATATTACTAGCACTCTTTTACATTATCAGTACCTGATAGCAAGCATTAGATAGTAAACATAGCTATGTCATTTAGTCTCCCAATCCGCGCTTAGAATTGACCTTTTGAAGCATGATATTCCCCCGACAAACGGCTCTAGCCTACGTCAGAGGTACGTCATCAGTATGCAGACCACATGAGAGGGATGTAAATGTTAATTACAAAAAACATAAAAATGATGTAGTATGTAGATTAGCTCTGTTTTGCGCTGCAAGGATGTGGCGTAATCTTGTAACCCAATGCTACCAGCTCTGAGCAGCTGTTTCTGCCCTGCCTCAGCGAGCAACAGGTAATTCAGATGAAGAGACAAACCCGTTTAGGGTTCTCTCTTTAGCTCTCTTCTCCCATCGGAATTCAGGCCTATTAGGTGATTACAAGCTCTCTAATTTTACCCCCAGAGTATAGCGAGAGTCACTCAGTTCTAATAACCAAAAGGTAGCTTAGGTGAGAAGTTGTATTCGCCTAAAGGATTCAGAAGATGTCCCTAATTGTCCATGACTACCTAAGGGTCACGTACAAATTCCTTTGCTACCAGGTTTATGAGAACTATAACACGGGGAACATTTTCTAGAATCATTACCGAAAGCAGTACTCTCACGCCAGATCTGCACCCACATGCTGGAGATGTTGGAGATGGTTGCGATTGAACTTTATTGTACACATTAAAAATCAATATATTCTGCCCAAATATCTGAAGAATGAGGGTAAGTCTCATAGAAAGTAGCCAACCTCTTCCTTTTTTAAAAGGCATCCATATGCTTTGTATGGTACCATACAATTATGGCATGGGTTCGGATCTTGAGATGATTCACTACAGCTTACCAAACATCGTTCGAATATAGCTCGACGTTCGGCTTCGGCTGGAGTTTCGTACTGAAAGTAGCTTTCATTTGGCATATTTTACATCCCTTAACTGTATTGAAAGCTTCGAACTCTTTATTCCCGAGGTACGCTCCACATTCAAATTTTATTCAAAATCCCAGCTCTATTCGATCTGCAGTTTGAATTCCTCAGGCAAAATCATATACAACGTATAGCTTTTTCCCCTCCAGCTCATTCTTCAGCCAGCGCAAATAGGGCGATCGAAGGGAAGGACCGAATCGGCTTGAACATGATCCCTTGAGGGACTTGTTCCCTACGTGAATGTGGGTTCGGTAGCGGACCAGAGGCCGATTAGCTCCCGTGATGACGAGAATAGCACAAAAGAAACCTCTTCGGACAAATATGTCTATGAATCCGATCATAGCATCATATATGACGTTGTTTGAAAACATAAAATGACTGATTTGATGTAACTATAACTAACCCGGATGTATTTACATCCCTGAGCTGTGGCTAAATATAGAAAAGGAACCAATAATATCGCACATCTTAACTTCATATCTGAAATCGGATGAAATTTCTCATGGCAACACGAACAGACTTATGCTAATTTTATCGCACGAAGTGAGAGGACTTAAAGAATTACAACGTCAAAGCAATCCTCTCAAGAAAGCAAGAGAACAGAAAGCAAAAAGAAACAGACACACTGACCAAACAGCAGACCAGTGATGGATGTGCTCAGTCAGTTTCACAGTAGTTCTTAGTTGTCGATTCTCGAGCTGGTTTACAAAATAGCCGTAAATCATATCGTAAAATCAGTTGAATAGGATTGTAGCAGAGCTCGAACCGTAAAACCACCAAAAAGCTTTCTCGAAGAAAGTATTTTTCGAGGTTTTCTGTGTCGGTCTCGTTCCGTGCTTTGTTCTAGGCATCCGATCCCGAATTGACATTTAGAGGTAATGGAAGTACTGAAGTGAAGCATCAGGAAAAGTAGGAGAGAAATTACTATGATTGGCTTGGAGGGCAAGGTTTACAAGTCTTTAGAGTCCGTTCCTCCCTTGCACGTCCCCCTGTCAGAATCCACTACCTCATACCCATGTCATCATAACGATAGGCACGATGTCACGAAGGGTCAAGTAGAAAAAAGGCCATTCAATTTACAGTAAACGTTTGTTATTACTCAACTTGATTTATAAGTAATTTTGTATCGACCCCAGCGAAGAGGTGCCCAAAAACGGCCTAGGATTGATCCACAGCAGTGATTTCGTCTGAATTTGCATAAGATCTTCAAACCACAGGGGTTTTTACCCCGATCAAGCTTTCAATCCGGAAACTGGCGTCAATACACTAGAAAAATAGATCTCAATTCCAAGTGGGAAAAGCATTAGAGAAAAAGAGGGAGAAGATGAAAGAGGGGAGGATCACTTTTTCAATTGTTAAGATACAGTATCAGTAATTCTACAAATGAAGTACACAGTAAAGTTTTTTTTTGATCCTAACCGAGGATAGTGATGACTGGTCAACGGTTGCGGTCGAGGAAAGCGTGATTTGTAGCAGGCTCCGTGAGACCTGAGCGATCAAGATTTTCCCGTAGCGAGGCAGAAATTAATGCCCCACTGATAATGCATGGGGGTATCACAAATGTCACGCGCGATCTTGTTTAGTGATAGATGCGTTCCGATTTATTGCTTTTTTGTCAATTTCTTCGGGATTCTCGCGTTATCATTCGGGAGCCGATAAAAACTCTGATCTCTGGGCATCCTCAGCCTAGACAGGGGAGAATTGACACATCATTGCTATTTAATGATTCAGCTTCGGTAACATTTCGTCCACGTGAAGTGATAGCATTGAAATTAGATTTTACTGTAGATCAATACGGAGATTCATTGGTGATGAAATGGGACTTATGACGAGTGGCCTCCTACACATTGTATGTAGTGGAGGAAGAGGTCCAATCCCCGAGCAGATCCCATTCGGAATCTTATCACCACAGATAACGCTTTAATGACAGATCTATCTACATAAAGCAAAAAAGAGAATCATCTAAAGTAAAGAATAGCTGAGTGTATGCCTCAGTACTGCAGCCTTGCTCTGTTACGAAAATTGAAGAGTAAACTGGCGTATTCCTCTTTCCGAGAACGGGAATCCGTAAAGGGAAGTGCGATTAGCCGGAACAGTCTAGTTAGTACCTGGCTTGTGCAGTGACTACTGAATATGTACATATCGCTTTCTGCTTCCTAGATGAATTAAATTCCATATCTAAACGGTTGGGTCGGTATCTTAGCCTGTGGGACTTGATTTAGGGTCTCACGGAGGTAGAAGTGCCAATTTATCACCGTATTTTCGTCACTGGTCGCAAAACTTTGGCAGATTTACTGACATGAGCATGCAATTCCAAAGAAAATTCAGTGAACGAGAGTAGGCGAGATCTAAAAGTATTGCAGCACAAAAAAGAAATAGTTCCGCCCGAAAAGCTTTCAAGACGATATTGGAGAGGTTAGTGGGTTTGGTCAATGTCGGTTGTTTTTTATATGCCTTAATAGGAAAAGTGCATTAGAAGAAACAGGGATATTCGTAGGTATCGAGCAGACTAATAAGAAAGAAATTGGAGAAAAAAACAAAGTTGTCTACTTTATGAATGACCCTCGGGAGGTATGGAACATGCCTGGGCTTCCACCAACTCCATACATACCTACGTCTNTATTGCAGCATAAAGGAGAAATAATTTGGCTCGAAAAGCTTTCAAGAGTGTATTGGAGAGGTTAGTGGGTTTGGTCAATGTTGGTTGTTTTTTATATGCCTTAATGGGAAAACTGCATTCGAGAATACAGGGATACTCGTAGGTATTGAGCAAACTAATAAGAAAGAAATTGGAGAAAAAACAAAGTTGTCTACTTTATGAACGGCCCTCGGGAGGTATGGAACATGCCTGGGCTTCCACCAACTCCATACATACCTACGTCTTCTCAGTATATGAACAGGACCAGTCCAAGCAAGGAATTGGCCACGCCCTACAACACTCGTGAAGTATTCTCAAATTCCCCCTTGAGCGATAGTGTCATGACGTCATTAGTCATTTTATTTACAATAAACAATACCAGTTACACCAGACATGCAATGTGTTGTGCGTATGGAACACAAATTCAGGAAGTAATAATTACGATGACAACAACCCAGGTGAATTTTGCCGCCTACACTAGCACCTACGTGAATGGAGGCTCAGAAATTCACTTTTTCCATCATATAAAACTTTTATCCCCATCGCCCATCTAATGTAGAGGGTTTCTCGCGTATCTGTAAGCTCATAAGAGAAAATCTTGTGAAAAAGATGAAATACGGCACCGCTCTTGAATGAAGAACTGACGAGTCCACGGTAAGTTATTAGACATTTAAGAAAGAGGTGTTCTTTCGCTCCCGCATTGAGACCCCGAAGGTGTTATTAGACTACCTAAAGTTAAGTGAAAGGAGAATCTTATTCACGGAATGCTTCTAGGTCCCAGACTACCAGACTACATATTGGGTTAGGGGACGTTATTGAGTCAGAAAGGCAGAATCTTAACTGAAGATAGCTTCTGGTCCGCGACTATTAGGTTTTTATCGGGAAAACTCTCATCAACACATCAGAAAAGCTGACCTTCTCTTAAGTACTAAAAACGCCAAAGAAGAGAATGAATGAAGCGAAAATTGGGTTAGAAAAATCTCAAAATTTGAAATCTTCATATTTTAAAGCAGTCCCACCTTCAGAGACTGCCACGATCTTAGAACTAAAACAGTGCGCCTAGAGAAAGAACTTTAACGGCTTTGTGAGGGAACGTGAGAGCTGAATTGCTCCTTGCTGACTCCCCTTCCACAATGCCGATCCTACCAAAGTCGATTTTTTCAGAAACCGATTCGATGGCTGTCACCGTTGCGGACCAGATGCGGAAAGAGTGAATGAGTGAAATGTCTTGCTGGAAGTACAATAAATAACATTGATTACTGTGATGCAGAGATACTGTAGTGATTACTGTAGTCAAAACATACATATACTGCGAAAAATACAAAGGGGATTACATCGAAAGGTTATAGCGTTCGATTTGGGTGATGACCAACTTCACGAAAAAGGACCGATACTCACCGTTTTGTCAAATTAGTTTACTATCATAGCAGGTCTGCATCTAAATAGCCTTATTACCTCAGAACCCAGCTCACTGAGGCTTAGAAACCCTAAACAGGTTCCGTAGGCGTTTAAGCTTATGGTAGTCTTATTCTATCCTCTATTTACAACATTTCTAATCCAAATCCCCTCGATACTGCAAATTTTCAGAACTGTTATCCGCAATTTGCGTCACGATGGGTGACCATGTTGCCCCCACATCTACCTAAAGCTGCTTAGCATACCAAATGGGTCGCATCCTGAGTCACATCTTCCTCCAACGATGCTATTTCTAGAAAGTTGATCTGCTTTAAGAAGCCTACTAGTATGAATCGGGATTTCACTTAGTTGATTGAATCAACCCGAAAACAAGTCTTCGCTGTTTTGGATCAGGACACGCCTCTCAGACGATTAAGTCAACCCGAAACTGTTCTGGATCTAGAGACCCTACGTCAGAGGATTAAATCAACCCGACAACGAAGAGCCCACTGGTTAGGGAACCACTTAACTGATTGAATCAACCCAAAAGAAAGAAAGCGTTGATCTGAATTTGATCTGGCGACTAAAGCTTCTTTTACAGATCTTGATGAAGATATTGACAGCTACATATTCATACCAATTGAATGATAACTCGTTAATATATTACTTAGTGGCAATTACCAAATAGAATGTTTACACAAAAATTCTCGGTAGAAGCACATAGTTGAATCTTCAGTGGATCTACTAGAGCAGAAATGAAGTCCCAGTACGTAAAATTGACGCACTGGAACAGTTGGGACTCCTGCAGTGAGGATAAAAGTCAGTGTGTAAGCCATAAACGAACACAATACGCCACTACGATTTTGAATGGAAATCGCATACTGGGATCATTCCAAAACGGGACTTAACAAAGTCAGTGGCATTATTCTTCATCCGTTATCCTTCAACTTTCCAAAGGCTTAACGAATGAAGGTCACTATACAGGCAACCTGAAATGACTCTGAGGAAATGTGCCTGAACACCGGCATAAACTTTCAAGAGCTCATTACTTATATAAGATGGGTATTATACAAGAGCTACGAATTAGTGCAAAAACCTATGCGACGCGGCTCCGACTGTGGAACACCTTTTCATTGCGAAGCACTTGATATGTTTCTCCTTGTGGGTAATGGGCTGGAAAGACCTGAACGTCATGGATGGGCATGCTGACTATATACCGCATTTTATTTTATGCCTACTTTGTCTTCCTGTTTACGCCACGATAATTGGGTTATAAGCAATTACGATTATGTTCGAGCTGTAATAACTTTTCTATTGAATAGGTGACACATCTTCCCAGAAATTTAATATTAATATCCTCCTGCCAAAGTAATTCATCACATGCTTGTTCGATACCAGTCCTTCCAATTTTTCCAATCTGAAAGAACAGGTAAAGCAATTGGCAT